AGACGGCGGAGCGAAGAACAGTCGTGTCGGCGCAGCTGCACCAGAACCAGCAGCTCCAGCAGCTCCAGTGCCTCCAGCAGCTCCAGTACCTCCAGCAGCTCCAGTACCTCCAGCAGCTCCAGAAGCTCCAGGCCCAGAGCCGACACCTCGAGTCCCAGGGTCTCCAACCTCTGTGTCTCCAGCAGCAGCACCCCCAGAACCAGCACCTCCAGTCCCAGGGTCTCCAACCGCAGGGTCTCCAGCAGTAGCACCCCCAGAACCAGCACCTCCAGCTCCAGGGTCTCCAACCTCAGCGTCTCCAGCAGCAGCACCCCCAGAGCCAGCACCTCCAGTCCCAGGGTCTCCAGCCTCAGTGTCTCCAGCACGAGCCCCTCCAGAACCAGCAACTCCAGCACCTCCAGTAGACAAAGGACCAGCACGACTCCGAGCTCCAGCAGCGCGACGCTGACGGCGACCGTACCAGTCCTGCAGCTGCTGTGGGGTGAGAGGCACACGGGGACGAAGGCGGCCACTCCAAGGAGACCGCGCAACAGCAGACTCAGAACCCTCAGCGCCCGCACCCCCAACGGCTCCAGAACCTCCGGTGTCAGTACCCTCAGCACCAGTACCTCCAGCGACTCCAGAACCTCCAGCGCGAGCACCCTCAACAGCTCCAGGACCTCCAGCTCCAGCGCCACCAGGACTAGGCCCTCCAGCAGCTCCTGAACCTCCAGCGCCAGCACCCTCAGTAGCTCCAGAACCTCCAGCGTCAGTACCGCCAAGCTCAGCACCCCCAGACCCCTCACACGCAGGCTCAGCACCACCAGGCTCTACACCCTCAAGCTCCGCACCCTCAGGCTCAGTACCCCCAGACTCAGCACCCCCAGGCTCCGCACCCCCAGGCTCAGCACCCCGAGCAGGACCACTCGCAGGAGGACCTGAGTCACCAGTGACCTCAACCGGCGCAGTCAAGGGAGGAGGGTCTACCTGAGAAACACCTGAAGGAGCAGGACCGGGAGCGGGGAGGGGGTCTACCTGGGGAGCACCTGGAGCAAGGAAGAGCGGCGGGGGGGGGAGCGAGGCAGTGCGGTAGGGGAAGAGACGGTAAAAGGGAACCGACTCGTCGAACGTGACGTCCTGAGACGCAAAGACACGGCGCGAGGTGGGGTGGTAAAACTGCCAACCAGGCGCGTCAGGGACAAAGCCAAGGAAGACACAGGGAACAGCGCGGGCGGAGAGCTTGTCCGCGGTGGTATCGCGGACAAAGGCACGAGCACCCCAGACCCGGAAACGCGACGCATCGCCAACCTTCCCCGTCCACAGCAGTGTGGGCGAGGTCTCCGGCAAGGAGACACGGGGCCAGAGGTTGAGCTGATGCGCGGCGTACCGGACCGCAAACGGCCACAGAAAATGGGGGGCAGCCGCATGGATCATGGAGGTACGAGCGACCTCCATGACTAAGCCAATGCGGCGCTCAGCAACCCCATTCTGCTGCGGAGAGGCCGGAAGCGTGAACGACTGGGTGATGCCGTGCTCCGCACAGTAGGCTGCCAAGAGGTCGGAGGAGAACTCACCACCTCTGTCAGAGTGCAGACGCAGGACAGGAAAGTCCGACCGGAACCGCTCGCGGAGCTGGAGACGAACAGCGCGGATCCAGGGGATCAAAACAGCAGGGACGTCCCCCTTGCTCTGCAAGGGGAAGACCGTGGTGTAACGCGTGTAGTCGTCGACGACCAGCAGGAAGTACCGCTCGCGGCCCTGTCCCTGGACGCGGGCTGGGCCCCACACGTCCAGATGGAGCGTCTGCAGTGGAGCCTCTGTGGGAGGAAACGAGGAGGAGTGAGGAGCGGCGCGCTGCCGCCCCTCGACGCAAGGAATGCAGGGCGGCGCAGGCGAGGGAGGGAGGGCAGGCAGGGACCTGGGAAGACCAGAGACCAGGGAGCGAGAGTGCATGCTACGCAGGCGAGGCAAGGAGGGGTGACCAAGGCGGTGGTGCCACAGGAGAGTGTCGTGCGACAAAGCGCGACACTCGCAGGGGGCCGCCAGCTGACCAGACGCAGACGCAAACGCAGACGCAGCTACCTGAGGGGACTCAGTGGTCAGTGTGTACAGACTCGAGCCAGGTGCACGGGTGAACGTGGCCAAGTGCCGGCCCGTCCTAGCACACGTACAGTGAGTCACTCGCTGACTCGCAGGACAATATGCAGCACATATAGTTTGACACGTACGGGCCGCGCGCGGGCCTGGCGCAGGCCGTACGGGCCGCGCGCGGGCTGTACGGGCCGCGCGCGGGCCTGGCGCAGCCCGTACGAGCAGCGCGCGGGCCTGGCGCAGGCCATACGGGCCGCGCGCGGGCCTGGCGCAGGCCGTACGGGCCGCGCGCGGGCCTGGCGCAGGCCGTACGGGCCGCGCGCGGGCTGTACGGGCCGCGCGCGGGCCTGGCGCAGGTCGCGCGGGCCGCTACGGGCGACGGGGGGCGACGCGCGGGTCCCCGGGGGCGCTTCGGCGGGCGACGGGGGGCGACGCGCGGGTCGACGGGCAGCAAACCGCCGCGCACCTCGGGGCGCACGGCGGGCAGGGCAGAAAACCGCCGCGCGCTCTGCGCGCTCCGAGCGCACGGCAGTGAGAAAACGGCGCGCGCCCGGGGCACGCTACAGGCAATAGAGCAGCGGAAGCATCGGGTGGGGCCCACCCACAGGATCGACCCAGGAGGGGTCGAACTGCTCTGATAGCATGTTAAATAGGCTAGGCGAAAACGAGAAATAGGCAAAGAGGGGTTTTCACTAGCAGCAGCAGGATACATATACGAAACCCTAAATCGGGTTGTACTCGCTATAGAGTACCCCATTGCAGGCTAGACAAACATAACATTCTGACATTGCTATCTCCCCCCTTCTCCCCGTCGCGTTAGCTCTCTCCCCCCTTCTCCCCATCGCGCTCGCTATCTCCCCCCTTCTTCCCGTCGCGTTAGCTTTCTCCCCCCTTCTCCCCGTCGCGCTCGCTATCTCCCCCCTTCTCCCTGTCGTGTTAGCTCTCTCCCCCCTTCTCCCCGTCGCGCTCGCTATCTCCCCTCTTCTCCTCGTCGCGTTAGCTCTCTCCCCCCTTCTCCCCGTCGCGCTCGCTATCTCCTCCCTTCTCCCCGTCGCGCTCGCTATCTCCCCTCTTCTCCCCGTCGCGCTAGCTATCTCCCCCCTTCTCCTCGTCGCGTTAGCTCTCTCCCCCCTCGCTATCTCCTCCCTTCTCCCCGTCGCGTTAGCTCTCTCCCTCCTTCTCCCCGTCGCGCTCGCTATCTCCCCTCTTCTCCCGTCGCGTTAGCTCTCTCCCCCCTTCTCCCCGTCGCTCTCGCTATCTTCCCTCTTCCCCGCGTCGTGCTCGCTATCTCCCCTCCTCTCCCGTCGCGCTTGCTGTCGCCTCCCCTCTCCTCGTCGTTCTCGCTATCTCCTCGGTTACTTCCGAGCAGAGAGGAATGCATTGCTAAGATCACACCCAACCCACACATCCTCTCTCGCCGGGCCATCCTTCATTCGCCGTCGCCCTCCCTCTCCCTTCCGTCACTCTGTTTGTCACTCTCATGCTCTCGCATCGGGTGAACCTGATCACCTTCCACCTCTAGCGGCACAATACCCATCGGCCCCACACCCTCTCTCTCCTCTCCCGTCACCTCGCCGATATTATGTTTCCTAATCAAGTGCATGCCTCCGTGTTGTTCGTAAGCTCAACATTTGTGTGTATGCTGCGTGTGTGGTGGCAGGTTCCTTTGTGAGTACTTGTCATGTGTTGTGCTCGATGCGAATTTGCATGGGTGGTCGAAGTGGAAATGTCAAAGCAAGCTTGCGACAATTTTGTGGATGTTGCGACTGATTGTATCAAGAACGGAAACAACGCCAAATCGGTCTTGCCACTTCTTGGGGACTTGCCTTGTTCGGAAAAAAAAACACCAAACTTTCTGGAAAAAAACATGGGATTTCTAGTGGACCCAACTAGAAGGGGGGGGTCACTATTTTAGCTGCTGGCTTTAACCTGCCGGCCACCCAGCGTGCAAATCCATACAGGAATGCATGCCTGTAGGATGTGTATTGATAGTGCAGCAATCTTTCTTTGTGAATCGTTCTGTAGTGAAAGCTACCGTTCAAGGCTCACAATCACCGTTCTATCCACCGTTCTGTACACTAACAAAACATGATGGCCCGTGTCCTTGGAATTGCCATGTTGGTCTTATCTCCTACATAATGTTCTACGTGTCTAGATCTAAACACCCTATCGTAGCTAATAACGGTAAAGGGTCATCAATAACCTCGCAGGTAACAGTACAACCTGCGGGAAGCACGCCTGCTGGTATGTTTGGGAGCCAGAAAAGTTGGAGGCTTTCCTTTTCCAAGAGGTGTCGTCCGTTGTGCTGTAGTGATTTATTATGAGTTTAGTTTAGGGTCAGCAGGCGAGAAATCTCAAATGCCAACCAGCTCCCTCTCGATACCTGCCCCGGGCAAACGCAAAAACAAATATCTCGTGCGACGGCGGTTCCGCGTCAACTGACACCTTGCCGCATGGTGCGACGCATGGGCCGGAGTCCACAGTCCATACCCTGTGGAGGGATACAGGTTGAGTTGAGAGCCAGGTTACTGTACCACCAGCGGGAGGGGTGGAAGCTGCGCCTGGTGTTGCTACCGAGAAACACGCTCGCGGAGACCGGGCCACCTGTACACCCAGGGCGGGTCGCGAAATTTCTTTACACTTCAAATATGAAGGTTCGGGCTGGTGAGCAGCGGTTCAAAGTGATAAAGCGAGAAAATTGTCCCTTGTTCGTTTTGCGTCACGGTGAAAAATGGTGAAACTAGATCACCGCTGTGCACCGTCTGGAATCGTCTTGCGCCATGACGAACGAACTCGGTGGGCCTGCCCTGAAGCACACACATCCAACCTCCTTTCACCTGCCAACATGCGTGAGACGCGCTGGCTTTCTTGAGATTTGAAACCATCACAGACCTGAATTCTTCCGAACCACAATTACGAGGGAGTGTGGAATGCGATTCGCGACTATAGAATGTTGTTTCCGAGGTTGGGCTGTCACATCACCACCATCCGAAGTTTGGACAACTGCTGTGGTGCAGGAAGATCATCTGGTTCCCGTGCCCCGAGCAGATGAAACCAAGCACGAGCACTGGGTATGCACTTTTTCCCCCCTGGCAAAACCTCTTTTTACTAGAGTTGCCTCGTTATATTGTTTCACCAACGAGTACTTCGACCAACTGCGCGGCTGTAAACTAGAAACGGCAAGAACCGCAGTGGATTTGCTTGTTTTTCAGTAAACAGGCTGTTCCGGTTTCGGAGTCTACTGGGTACAGATTACTGTCTGTAGGTCAAGTGTCGCATCGCCTTGGACATTAGTGTGGACGAGATGGAGAGTGCGCTGTGCAGTAGCGAAGAGCCGTTTGGAGTAGTGGGCTTGGCAACCGACGGCGTTCAGCTGTTGCGCGAGGGCGGTTGGTCGCATAGCAGCAGGAGCAGCAGCAGCAGCAGCAGCAGTCTCAACGCAGGCCGGGACATTGGGATCGAGTGCGGCAGCAGCAGTGACAGCGACTCGCTGTCGGACAGTGATACCAGTGACAACAGTGGCTACTCGAGCGGGCTGCCAGCAGATGCAGGGGCGGAGCGGGCCAACAAGAAGCATGCGGGAGGGACGTCGTGTGAAGAGGCATCATTGGCCCGCCCTGCCCACCCCGCTGCTTTGCATGGTGCGCTCAACCACCATTCCTTCCCATGCTATACCTGGAATCACAAAACCACGACTCCCATGTAATCATCTTTCTCTCCTTAGTCAGTGCCCCCCCCATCCTTCCTTTTCTTTCCCTCTCGCGGAGAAAAGCGTGCCAAAATACTGCGGTCTGCCAGCGATCAGCATCTCGCCGCTGTCGCGGGTGTGAAGGTCGTCCTATTCCCGCCTCCATACCAACCTCTCATCGTCCGTCTCCCTGCCCCGCAGCCCTGTACTGGACATTCGTGTTCAACTGCTTTAGCGAGCAATCGTGGCGGTTTGCAGGCGCAGCTTTACTCGCGTTATTGCATCAATCAATACTGCCGGTGGCTGTGGCACGATTCGCTAGCCAGGTGAGCATATGAGGCACTCGCCTGGCATGCATCTCCCATTCCATGCTTACGCAGTACCATGCGCAGGCGCAACGCCTCGTTGATCTCGCCCGCACTTTTCTTTCCTCGTGCCTTGACTTTCAGCTGCTTCCAGCACCCTGCTTGCCAGCGTTCTCCCATCTATTCCCGTCTTTTCAACTTCAGCTTGCCCGTACCGTCCACCCATTCTTGCGTGTCCCCCGCAACGCGCAGCTAGTGGCGTGTGTGGCGGCGCCGCTGGTGGGCGATCTCTTGGACTCGGCGCCCAGGGTGCCGGCTCTCAGAGCTATCCTCGTCGCTCAGGTCACCCCTTCGCACGCCACCACCCCACCTACACTGCGCTCTACTCTGCTCTCTTACCACCGTGCTCGCCGCATTCTACGCTCTCCTCCCCGCCATCTCGCCATGGCGTCAAGTCGATCCACCCCCCTCCTCATGTCGCCCCACTCGTGCGCGTGCCCGTCTCTCACCCCGCCCCTGCGCGCAGAGCGGCGCCATCATGGTGGGAGCAGCGGCAACCATGCACGCGCTCAACTTCGCCTTCCCTGCTCAACCTCCACCTGCCGCTTCGGACACAGCCGCCACGTCAACTGCCACGTCAGCGCTGTCGGCTCTCCCCGCAGCAGCGGTGCTGCAGCAGGGGTGGTTCGTGGTGCTGCTGGTGGCGGGCGCGGTGGAGCGCGTGATGGGGCTGGCGACGGGCGTGGCCGTGGAGATCGACTGGGTGCTCGTCGTGCGTGCCCTGCCCTGCCCCCTCTCGCCTGCCCTCCCTCCTGTCTCGCGCAAGCATGGGCGCATAGGCGCATGGGCGCATGGGTACATGGGTGCATGCCTAAGTGACCGTTTACGTGTGAGCGTGTGTTATTCTAGAATAAAATCGCAAAGGCATCTCGAGAATACGCCTAGGCAAGGAAGGGTCCCTATTGTTGGCGCTGTAGTTGCTGTATGAGGTGCAGCGTGTCACCCCAATGGGGCGGGATTGAATAGCTGGGTGGCAGAGTGTTCAGTTTACCTTTTGGATTGTTTACACGGGGGTGAGAAATGGAATGGAGGGCCGTGAGGGGACTACTAAATGGGGATAGATGCAAACGGGTGCTTAGATGCGTGTGTACATGCGTGCGTGGTGCCTCACAATCACCTGTGTCTCCCCATCCCACCCGTTGCACCCATCAGCTGGTGGGGGAGGGTCGGCCTGAGCTCATGGCGACGGCCATGGCGACTCTAGGGAGGATCGAGCAGTTCGGTGAGGTGAGCCCACGTCTCTGCCCTGCACCTGCACCTGCTCGCCCGCTCGCTTCTGCTGCACTTGCCATGCACCGCGCCTTGTTTGCCGTCTCTTGCTGGTTGAGGCCCGTGGGACATGTGCAGCCTTCACGTGCTCACTCCTTGCAATGCTTCAGTGTACTCGGTCCTCTATATTCCAACTCCTCCTAATCTGATTCTCCACAACAGCCTTACCCCTCACCCATGAAATCCATGGTACGGATACTGTTGTGCACATCCCTGTCATCTCACCCTTCACCCTCTCTCTTGCTCGCCACCGCCCTGGGCAGGTGGCAGGGGCGTTCACATTCGGGGGCCTCATAGCCACGTATGGGCCGTTCGTCTGTGTCAAAGCATGCATGGCCCTCGCTGCGCTCTCCATCCCTGCTCTCGTACGATTCCTTGCGTTCGCCACGCCTCCTTCACCCTGCTACACTCTATGTTCTGTTGCCAATACCTAATTTTCATCATTCCTTCTTCAAGGGCCCTCCATGCCTTTTCTTCGTTCCTTTCCCTTTCCTCCAATTTGCATGTTTGCAGCATCTGCCTCTCAACACTCACTTTCGCCCCCTGTTACCGCCTTATTTCTCTGAGTCGCCAAACAATATCTTCCAGAAAAGACAGATTACTATGTTTATATCACTCAAGTCCCTTCCTCTCCTCCCTTCCTCTCCTCCCTTCCCCTCTCTCCCGCTCCCCTCCTGCAACCTCGTCACACATTTAGCTTGCGCTGACGGCTCTCACCAACCACCTGTCGCACGGTGCGCTCAGCCACAGTGGTCCCTGTGAGTCCGCACAGAGGCTGGTGCCCGCTGTTGACTCTGCTGCCGAGGATACCACTGCTGCTGCTCTACCCCACGTGCTTGATGCTGCACCTTGCATACTGTCGAGTGGGCAAGCAGCAAGGCCAGGGGACTCATTCAGCATAACGCAGGAGGCAGAATTGGCAAGCAACAGCAGACTCATTTCACCAACTGATACAGCCCCAACTGCCTCAACCACAACAACTTTGGCACTGCCTTTTAGGGCATTACCGGTGGAGAACACTCTTTGGAGGTGCGCAAAAGCAGCGGCAGCGGCAGCAGTGGCAGTGGTTGCAGCGGCAGGAGCGGCGGTGTGGGCAGTGGGGAGGGCAGCAGGGAAGGGGTGGAGGTGCATGATGCAGGAGGCGGTGATGCCTGCGAGCATGGCGTACGTGCTGCTCTGCTTCAATGCTGTGCTTGCACCGGGGGGCCTCATGACCTCCTTCCTCTTCAACCACGGTCCGTGCCTCTGTCCCTCCCACCATGCTCACTTCATCACTTACATTCTTCCTCTCCTCTCTTCGTCAGTGGCTTTTCGCCCCCGTGCCAGACGCCTTGTTTGCCCAACCGGATACCACCCACTTGTCGGTCGGACTTATTTGGACCTCGTGTGTGGTATGCGTGTGTGTGTGTGTGTGTGTGTGTGTGTGTGTGTGCGTGTGCGTGTGCGTGTGCGTGTGCGTGCGCGTGCGCGTGCGCGTGCGTGTGCGTGTGCGCGCGTGTGTGTGTGTGTGTGTGTGTGTGTGTGTGTGTGTGTGTGTGTGTGTACGCGCGGGCGCGTGCATGTACATGTGTGCGTGCTTGGGTGCTTGTGTGCATGCGTGAGTGCATGCAGGGGTGGGCATGGCAGTGATAGGCGCATTCAGCAGTGCGTGTGCGGCCATGGGCTTCGTTGCCTGCTTCATCTCGCCGGCACTCGTTGCACGCCTCGGCATCTTGCAGGTGCACTGCATGCCCAGGGGACAGTGCTGGGATGCTGTGGGGACGAGGTGCCATGGGTGTGGATATGTAGAGCTGTCAATTAAGTTTCAGTGCTTGGTAGATCCAGCTCTTTTATCCACTGTCATTCCTTACTCACCTCCCCCAACTTCCCTCTCATCCCAGGCGGGCAGCATTGCGCTGCTCTTCCAGGCCACCATGCTCGCCCTCGCCGTGCTCGACTTCTCCTCGCTCTCTCTCTGCCCTCCCTTTCTGCACCAACGCCTGCTCATGCTCTTCCTCTTGCTTGTGGTGGGTCTGCCTCTTGGGACATGTTTCCTTTGAGTAAAAATCTTCCATTTTATTCGCACCTGTTATAAGTATTTGACATACTGTGTAATAGTTCTTTGACCTACTTCCCATGTGCTACGCCTTGTACAAGTTCTACTTTCTGTGTTACCAAGCATGTAACCAGTTTATATCACTCTCCTCTCTTCTTTCATTGAGCCAGGGTGTCTGCGTACCCCTTTCGTTTTGCTCTCCTCTCCTCCCCGCACTCCTTCATCACCCCTCTCGTCCTCCTATGTGGCTAACTGCGGGGCAGGTGTTGTCGCGCATGGGGCAGGGCATGTATCAGATAGTGGGGTGTCAGATCATCCAGGCAGTGCCAGCAGCATCAGCCAACCTGTTTGGGACCACGGAGATGGCTCTGGGCAGCCTAGCAGAGCTCGCCATGCTCTCCCTCGCCATCCTCTTCCACGATCCCAAGTACTTCGGCGCCCTTATGCTCGTGTCCTTTGCCGCCGTCCTTGCTGCTGCTGCACTCTACTGCCACTGGCTGGCCAGGCCCGACCCAAGGCTCGCAAAGCTGTTTCCGGATCAACCTAAGTCCTGGTGGGGGAATCTGTTTTGGGGGGGAACGGGCCAGGACGAAGGAGAACGGGAAGAGGAAGCTTTGCTGCGTGAGCAAGGACTGGGGTTGGGGGATCACCGAAGACGAGAAGCTGGGGATGAAGAGGTGGGATTGTTGAGAGATAGGCAGGTGTAGGGCAGGCACTTCATTAATAGTTGCTTGTCTAATCCATGTTCACCTAATAATTGAGCAGGGCCAGTGTTGTGGTATATCTTTTTTGCAGATTCATTGAAAGCTTTAAAGTGTTTGACTAAGCAGGCCCCTAGATGTCAAGAAGCTAGGCACTATATAAACAAGCCCTTTTATCCCAGTGGTTAGTGACTGGGATTCTGACACTAGACAACACGATCCATCCAGTTGAAGTTCGACGCAGGTGTAACTTCACATTCACCCAAGAAATGCTGGCAATTGTTAGAATGGTCGAAGATACTAGCGAAAGCTATATTAGTCTTAGAACCTCCTCCTAAAGCCTTGAAATCTTAGGAGCCAATTTGGGCATGAACCATGGTAGAACCGAAGTGATTTCCAAGAAGTGAAGTTCCAACAAGAGAGAACCTTAACCGTATAAGGTTTGGGAGGTGGTCCACACTGTAAAGAGTGTACCCCACACAAGTTCTCCCAACCCAACCAATGTATTCTACACTACTACTACATATGTTTACTAGAGCAACCTGAATTAACCTTAATTTCCACCAGCAATACCGTATGGCCCCGGATATAAGCGCAGGCCTATTAAAAGCGCATGCGCTTATATCTGGAGCAATGCGCTTATGCCCGATCCTCAATTATAAGCGCACCCCTTATAAAACCCTGACATATAATAAGCGCATGTGTAATTGTAACTTTAAATCTTCAAAACGAATTTCAATTTTGCAGCGAGTCCAAAGCACATTATCGCTTAGGTTGACTTTTGAAGACCTCACATCCTGCGCGTCCAGTCAGCACGAGTTGGCACGCCCTCAAAGTGAGGTGTTACACTGCACTTTGCCTCTGTGCACCGGCAGAGAATCGCCCACGCGCGATTCTGATCTGTGACACTCTACAAATTCGAATCGATTGAAATTGCTGATACAACCGAAGGATCAGTGGATAGGATAGAATGTGTTAAGCCTGAAAGGAGACAGTGAAGTCTCTGTAGTGACCTTGTTGAATAATAGTTGAAAGAGAACAAGATGATTGAAAGATAGGAGTACAAGGAATTAAATAGCAACTAACTAGCCATGTACTCTGAGGGGTACATTCCCTTATTAACTGTATTACATAGCTACAGTAACCGCGACTATTGCTATCCTCGACAGTTACCGTGTTGCAGTCTGTTAACTAACGTGCGGTTTACCGAATCGTCAAGGGTCACGACCGTTGACTATCTTAGACGGTTGACCTTCGGGTGACCCTCGACATTCCGCGTGCTCTATATGAGCTCATGCGGTACTGGTACAGTGGTACAGCTTCGGGAATGCCTTTATAACCTTTCGGTTATTCCAACACTCCCCTTCATTCCTGAAGGTGGGCCACGTGGGATTTCTTGGTGATCCCGCAGAGGTCGGCGCAGTGCTGGTACTGCTGACGTGGCAGTTTCTTCGTCAGGAAATCGGCTGCCATGTCACCGGTCGGGCAGTAAGTCCCCTTGTCGATTTTGTCTTTCACGAAGAAGTAGCGAAGGCCGATGTGCTTGGTGCGGTTGACGAAGCCGGGCTTGTTCGCGATCTTTATCGCGCTCTGATTGTCGCAGAGTAACGTGAAGTGCCCGTTCATCGTTACTTTCGCTTCTTGCAGGAGCTCCATCAGGTACAGTCCTTCGCGAACAGCTGCGCTGGCTGCGATGAATTCTGCTTCGGCTGACGAAAGGGCGATGAGTTCCTGCTTCTGGGAGTTCCATGAGATAAGTCCCGCAGGTTGAAGTTGAAAAATAAATCCTGTGCGGAAGCGCCTGTTGTCAACATCTCCTGCGTGATCAGCATCCACGTAGCCATGGAGTTGCAGAGTAGCGGTGAGGTTGGCTTCGTAGGTGAGGCCGACGTCGGGAGTGGAGATGAAGTATTGCAGTGCTCGGCGTAGATCCAGTAGATTCTCCCCTTCAGGTCGCTTCAGGTACTGTGCGAGCTGGCTAGCGACGTAGGAGAGATCGGGCCGGCACGTGACGGCGGCGAACAGGAGGCAGCCCAGCTGTTGTTGGTAGAGACGATGGTTGTCGGGAGAGAGCGGCGTGGTGTCGGGCTCGTGGTTAGGAGGAGGAGTGCGGTAGGGGGTAGTGAGGTTGATGGGAGCGATGGCGAACCGCTTCGCGAGTGTTTCGGCGTACTTGGCGGCGGAGAGGTGAATGGAGGAGGCGGACTGAGTGACGTTGAGGCCGAGGAACTGAGTGACGTTGTGGTTGACGGTCACTTCCAGCTTTTCTTTGATGTCGGCCTCGAATTGATTCAGCAGCTCCGTGTTGTCGCCAGTGTAGAGGAGGTCGTTGACGTAGGCGACGAGGAGGATGAATTTTCCGCGCGACTCCCGCCTGTACATTCCGAGATCGTGCGGCAGTTGAGTGAAGCCGAGCTCAAGGAGGACGGAATGCAGGTACTGCTGCCACAGACGAGGAGCTTGCTTGATTCCGTAGAGAGACTTTTGGAGGAGGCACACGGCACCGTCGCTTTCTTCGAATGCGTGCGGCTGCTCGACGAAGATGATGGCATCGACGGGAGCGTACAGGAAGGCGCTTCCAACGTCGATTTGCCGGAGCGGTCGCTGTTTGACGGCGGCGATGCAGATGAGAATGCGCACCGAGGTGTGACGTCCGACAGGAGCGTAGGTGAGCGTGAAGTCCACCAGGTGAGTTTGCTCGAATCCCCGCACCACCCAGCGTGCTTTGTATTTGTCGATCGAGCCATCGGCGAGGGTTTTGATGCGGAAGACCCATTTGCCGCTGAGGATTTTTCTCCCCTTTGCCGATGATCGTGGGACCAGTTTCCAGGTTCCGCGCTTCTTCAACGACGCGATTTCGGCGGCCATGGCTGCTCTCCATTTGTCACTGTCGGGACCAGATAGTGCTTGGCGGACAGTGGTTGGCTCCTTGGGCGAGGTGTGGCGAACAGCGACGGCGAGGCCGAGGACCCGAAGACCGGTTTCGTCGTTCTTTTCGTAGTGGAGTAGGTCGTAGTCGTGGAAGCTGGTTACTTCGACCACGTCGTCATCGCTGTCGTTGCCGAGGCGGAGGGTGTCCTGCGACGTGTTGGGTTGTGGTAATTCGGCGGCAGGCGATCGACGAGCTTCGCTGGTGTAGTCATGGGCTTCGCGTGTTATATCGTCAGGATCGGGTTGGTGTAGAGGGACGAAGGTTGGAGTTCCGAAGGGGATTGTAAGGGGGATGTTTGGAGCAGAGTCCATCTGGGTGACATCAGGTGCGTCTGCATCCTCGGCCAGGTCAGCTTCGTCGTGTGACGTGGCGAAGCTGCGGTGGCCCTCGAAGAGCCTCTCGGGTAGCTTGTCAGCTTCCTGGTGCTCCTTGAAAAGGGGCAGAGTCAGCTTCTCGTAGAAGATGCAGTCACGTGATTTCGTCACCTCGTGTGTCGCGTAGTCCAGCACGATCCACGCCTTGAATTCCTTTTCGATTCCGAGGTGGATGCCCCATCTTGCCCGGTCAGCAAATTTTCCGGTCCGCGCAGTGTGGGGTCTGTACTGTACCATGCAGCCGAACACTCGAAGGAGGCGTGTATCCGCTTTTCTGCCCGTCCAAGCCCGGTAAGGAGAATTGTTGTCCTTGAGGCTTCGTGAGGACAGCAATTTGTGCAGCCGAACAGCGTGATTCATCGCAAATGGCCAATATCTGGTTGGGATGGCCGACTGCTTCATCAGAGCCCTCATCCGCGTGGCGAGGCTCCTGTTTGTCCGTTCTGCTACGCCTTGCTGTTGGTGAGCGTAGGGCAGGGACACCAAGTGTTCAATTCCCTTCTGCTTGAAGAGTTCCTTGAACTCGTCTGAGAAGAACTCCAGGGCCCCATCCGTCTGCCAGGCCTTGAGTTTTAGCCCAGACTGTCGCTCAGCCCGCTTCATCCATGCGATAAAGCATTCAAAGGCCAGTGACCTGCAGTCGGTGTTGATGGCCCAAACGTAGCGCGTAGAGGCGTCGATGAAGGTGAGCGTGTAGAATTCTCCATCGAGCCCTTCCTGGCTGAGCACCAAGAAATCGCTGTAGACCTTGTCCAGTGGTTTGTAGCGTTCGTATCCCGGAGGTAGGTCGGGGAACGGCTTGTGATTGAGTGATGCAGTTGGGCAGACCATGCACGGTGGATTGGGAGAGTCCACAGTGAGGGAACCGTCTCGGGGAAGAAGAAGCGCGTCGTTGTCGAAGACTCCAGCCTTCAGCGAATTTTTAAGCGTGGCGTGAGAGGGATGCCCAAGTCGTTGGTGCCATGTTGCTGGGTCCGCACGGTAGCCGACTGCCTTCTGCTAATATTTTTGTCGTGCTGCTTCGTCGTTTGCCTCCCCTTCAGGTCCTGCGTCTGCGGTGTTATCCGTGTCGGTGGCGAGCGCGCGAATTGCCTTCCGTTCCAGAAGCGCGCGGGGAATACCGATGATGTCGTCGGTATCGCCAGCTTCGACTTGGTTACCGGTGACGAGCACGCATCGATCAGGCCAGTTCTGAGCGGGGAGTCCCGACATGGGAATCTGGTAGTAGCTGTATTCGGCGCCAATGACCTCAATTTCTTGGGGTCCTTGTACCGGCGGCTCCGGTTCTTCGGTCGGTTCAGGTAATTCTGCTGGTTCACCCATGAACTCGTAGGTCTCCTCTTCCTCTGATTCCTCTTGTTTTGGTGGTGGTGTGTCAGGAGCGTACTGATCTGGAAGAGGAGGGCCTTCCCAGCAGGTGCCGCGAGTTGCCCAGTACGGGTCGACGATGGCGACTTCCGCGGGAGGAAGGCCGGCTGCTATGGCGTGTCCTTGTTCCGCTTCGCCCGAAGTGCCCCAGCCTCCTCCGGTGCCCCACGTGTTTCCGGTTGTTCTTGTTTCTCCGACTACTGCGTCTTTGGCTTCTGCGCCAACTTCCCCAGATGGGGCAGGAGGAGTCCAGCCAGTGCCACCTTCCTCGGCTGGGGCAGGGGGAGTTCCCCAGCCAGTTGCAGCAATTTCTTCTGTTGCGATGGTGCCCC